TGTCGTCTGCGTAGAGGTGGATCTGAGAGTCACCAGCAGCAAGAGCGACATCATTGATATACACTGAGAAAAGTGTCGGCCCAAGATTTGAACCCTGTGGCACCCCCATAGAGACTGCCATAGGTCCAGACAACAGGCCCTCCGATTTGACACACTGAACTCTATCTGAGAAGTAGTTGGTGAACCAGACGAGGCAGTCATTTGAGAAACCAAGGCTATTTAGTCTGCCAATAAGAATGCGGTGGTTGACAGAGTCGAAAGCCTTGGCCAGGTCGATGAAGACGGCTGCACAGTACTGTCTATTATCAATCGTGGTTATAATATCGTTTAGGACCTTGAGCGTGGCTGAAGTGCACCCGTGACCAGCTCGGAAACCGGATTGCATAGCGGAGAAGGTACGGTGGTATTCGAAATGGTCGATGATCTGTTTGTTAACTTGGCTTTCGAATACTTTCGAAAGGCAGGGCAGGATGGATATAGGTCTGTAGCAGTTTGGATCTAGAGTGTCACCCCCTTTGAAGAGGGGGATGACCGCGGCAGCTTTCCAATCTCTGGGGATCTCAGACGTTATGAAAGAGAGGTTGAACAGACTAGTAATAGGGGTTGCGACAATTTTGGCGGCTAGTTTTAGAAAGAAAGGGTCCAGATTGTCTAGCCCAGCTGATTTGTAGGGGTCCAGATTTTGCAGTGCTTTCAAAACATCAGCTGTCTGAATTTGTGTGAAGGAGAAGCGGGGGGGGGGCATGGGCAAGTTGCAGCAGAGGGTGCAGAGTTGGTGGCCGGGTTAGTGGTAGCCAGATGGAAAGCATGGCCAGCTGTAGCAAAATGCTTGTTGAAATTCTCGATTATTGTAGATTTATCGGTGGTGATAGTGTTTCCTAGCCTCAGTGCAGTCGGCAGCTGGGAGGAAGTGCTCTTATTCTCCATGGACTTTACAGTGTCCCAAAACTTTTTGGAGTTAGTGCTACAGGATGCAAATTTCTGTTTGAAAAAGTTAGCCTTTGCTTTCCTGACTGCTTGTGTATATTGGTTCCTAACTTCCCTGAAAAGTTGCATATCGCGGGGGCTATTTGATGCTAATGCTGTACGCCACAGGATGTTTTTGTGCTGGTCAAGGGCAGTCAAGTCTGAGGAGAACCAGGGGCTATATCGGTTCTTAGTTCTGTATTTTTTTGAATGGGGCATGTTTATTTAAGATTGAGAGGAAATTACTTTTAAGGAACAACCAGGCATCCTCTACTGACGGAATGAGATCTATATCCATCCAGGATACCTGGGCCAGGTCAATTAGGAAGGCCTCCTCGCTAAAGTGTTTTAGGGAGCGTTTGACAGTGATGAGGGGTGGTCGTTTGACCGCAGACCCGTTACGGACGCAGGCAATAAGGCAGTGATCGCTGAGATCCTGGTTGAAGACAACTGAGGTGTATTTAGAGGGTATGTTAGTCAGGATGATATCTATGAGGGTACCCATGTTTAAGGATTTAGGGTTGTACCTGGTAGGTTCGTTGATAATTTGCGTGAGGTTGAGGGCATCTAGCTTGGATAATAGTGAAGACATCAAAACTATGAAATAACACATATGGAATCATGTAGTAACCAAAAAAGTGTTAAATCAAAATATATTTTATATTTGAGATTCTTCAAATAGTCACCCTTTGCCTTGATGACAGCTTTGCACACTCTTGGCGTAGCTCTCTCTATGAATTTGAGAGTGGTTACATTTCTCAAGCCCCATCCCTCAGCTTTTTACCAAAACAGAGGCGGGGCGACATTGTTTTTTCTATTGAGTGACGCTGCAATCTTTGGGGGTTGCGACCAAATCATAGGCTAGTGCCACCAACTGAAAACGTTCGTGTCACCAGTGACACCAGGGGAAAATATTAGTCTGGAGCCCTGCATATAGCCTACATGCTTTCAAAGTTTCCATGCAATCTTGTTAGTAGGCTATAATTTCTGGAACGCTTTTCTCAGAAAGCTAAGTTATCATATTATTTTCTGGAACTTAAGCCTTAGTTGAAGAGGCCCTACTTGGCAACAGAGAAACTCTCTTTACCCCCCCAGTGGGCAAAAAAATACACTGGGTTTAAATGAACATATTCAATCATCATGGTTAAATTAGTGATTAGACAAATGTTCAAATACAGATTGGGCTACATTATGTAAACAAACAAAAATGATCTCCATAGAAAATAGGAAATGTTCCTTCCTTCTGAGCATGAGTTTTTGGGTCTGTGGCTGGTTGTCTGGCCTGCAGCCACAGCACCTTGTAAACAGCACCGTGTAAAGGGCAGTGTTTAATCTCAGTATAACATCCTTCTGCACTTTTAACACTCCTGTGTAACATGACTCTGGGATACGAGTCTTGGCTGCATGTTTACTGTTGATGTGCTTTCTCAGTACACATAAACAGAGTATGATCGAGACCAACTGCTCTGCCCAGAAGGGCTCGGGATAATTGCTAAACAGTGGATGTGCTTTGACCAACGTCAAAGAATAATATGTGTTGAGCTAGGGCCGGACGATATACAGTATCTCACAAAAGTGAGTACACCTCTCACATTTTTTTTTAAATATTTGAGTATATCTTTTCATGTGACAACACTGAAGAAAATGACACTTTGCTACAATGTAAAGTAGTGAGTGTACAGCTTGTATAACACTGTACATTTGCTGTCCCCTCAAAATAACACAACACACAGTCATTCATGTCTAAATCGCTGGCAACAAAAGTGAGTACACCCCTAAGTGAAAATGTCCAAATTGGGCACAAAGTGTCAATATTTTGTGTGGCCACCATCATTTTCCAGCACTGTCTTAACCCTCTTGGGCATGGAGTTCACCAGAGCTTCACAGGTTGCCACTGGAGTCCTCTTCCACTCCTCCATGACGACATCACGGAGCTGGTGGATGTTAAGAGACCTTGCACTCCTCCACCTTCCGTTTGAGGATGCCCCACAGATGCTCAATAGGGTTTAGGTCTGGCCAGTCCATCACCTTTACCCTCAGCTTCTTTAGCAAGGCAGTGGTCGTCTTGGAGGTGTGTTTGGGGTCGTTATCATGTTGGAATACTGCCCTGCGGCCCAGTCTCCGAAGGGAGGGGATCATGCTCTGCTTCAGTATGTCACAGTACATGTTGGCATTCATGGTTCCCTCAATGAACTGTAGCTCCCCAGTGCCGGCAGCACTCATGCAGCCCCAGACCATGACACTCCCACCACCATGCTTGACTGTAGGCAAGACACACTTGTCTTTGTACTCCTCACCTGGTTGCCGCCACACACGCTTGACACCATCTGAACCAAATAAGTTTATCTTGGTCTCTTCAGACCACAGGACATGGTTCCAGTAATCCATGTCCTTAGTCTGCTTGTCTTCAGCAAACTGTTTGCGGGCTTTCTTGTGCATCATCTTTAGAAGAGGCTTCCTTCTGGGACGACAGCCATACAGACCAATTTGATGCAGTGTGCGGCGTATGGTCTGAGCACTGACAGGCTGACCCCCCACCCCTTCAACCTCTGCAGCAATGCTGGCAACAGTCATACGTCTATTCCCCAAAGACAACCTCTGGATATGATGCTGAGCACGTGCACTCAACTTCTTTGGTCGACCATGGTGAGGCCTGTTCTGAGTGGAACCTGTCCTGTTAAACCGCTGTATGGTCTTGGCCACCGTGCTGCAGCTCAGTTTCCAGGTCTTGGCAATCTTCTTATAGCCCAGGCCATCTTTATGTAGAGCAACAATTATTTTTTTCAGATCCTCAGAGAGTTCTTTGCCATGAGGTGCCATGTTGAACTTCCAGTGACCAGTATGAGGGAGTGAGAGCGATGACACCAAATTTAACACACCTGCTCCCCATTCACACCTGAGACCTTGTAACACTAACGAGTTACATGACACCGGGGAGGGAAAATGGCTAATTGGGCCCAATTTGGACATTTTCACTTAGGGGTGTACTTACTTTTGTTGCCAGCGGTTTAGACATTAATAGCTGTGTGTTGTGTTATTTTGAGCGGACAGCAAATTTACACTGTTATACAAGCTGTACACTCACTACTTTACATTGTACCAAAGTGTCATTTCTTCAGTGTTGTCACATGAAAAGGTATACTCAAATATTTTCAAAAATGTGAGGGGTGTACTCACTTTTGTGAGATACTGTATCAATTTAACACAAATTAATTTTTTTGTGCGATATTACAAATGCCTGTTTTTGTTATTTTCTGTTTTTATGAGCGTTTATGTCCGATTGTTCTCAGGTTGTCTTTTTGGGCTCGTCTCCTTCGCTCCTTCTGTGCAGTGTGCACCTTCCCATTTACACCAGAGATCTGGATATAATGACGAGATGTCTCCGCCCTATAACAATGGGTGTCGTTATTTTGGACAGAATTTGGCGAGAGTGAAACCTCTCGCGTCGCCTCTTCCTCTAGGTTTACACACACACACACACACACACACACACACACACACACACACACACACACACACACACACACACACACACACACGCCCCTCCCCCTGCCACCCACTACAAAGATGAGCAATCACTTCTTCCTCTCTGACAAGCGGTTTCAACTCGCTATTTGCATTTGAGGTTTGGCCCAACAGTCGGTCATATGGACACAAAGACATTGAGAAATGTTTTATTGTAATAGAGAAGTTAACCTTTCTAACAATACCCTTTTTACAGTATGTCTCAATTGCACGCAGAGCAGATACAGATGAACATTGATTCTAAAAAATGATTGCTCAGTTTGTCACACGTGACATCAGGGTACAACGTACAGCCCCTAAATTCACAACATTATTTCTGACTGTTTGAAATGCAGTGTATTTGACATTTAATTGTACAACAATGCTTATTTAGAGTTTTTATTTTAATCGAGATATGATTTTTGGGCCATATCGCCCAGACCTGTGTTGATCTCAATAGCCATGTTTCCACAAGCTTTATCAAGGTAAACAGCATGGGACCAGCAATGGCAGGCAAAATGTGTTATTTTTCAAAGTATGACCCTCACAGCCTAGTCACAACGGCAAATCTCAATTATGAAAAACACCACAGGTTCCCTGAAATGCAGGGATTGAGAGCAGTGTGGGAATGTAGTTTGTATGATTAAGCTAAGGTCAACGAAATGAGAGGGAAAGAAACTAACCTCTTCACAGACTTCTCGCGCTGCCGCTACATTGGGCTCCTCTTCTGGCTCCATCCCCCCACCAGGGACGATCCACTTGTCTGGATGACGACTACTACTCACCAACAGCACCTGCAGAAAAAGAGGATACAGCATTGAGCACCAATCAAATCCAGAGTTTCAGGTTCCAATGGAAACACAGCAGAGCATGTTGTTGAGACAACTTCTCAACTCAGTTGAAGACAACATCTCGATCCTATTCAAATTACAGGTGACATATTATTCTCAATAACAGATCAAATCAAATTGTATTCGTCACATGCTTCATAAACAACAGGTGTAGAGTAACAGTGAAATGCTTACGGGTCCTTCCCAACAATGCAGAGTAATAGAAAAGTAATAACACGGGCCTCCCGAGTGGCGCAGCATCTCAGTGCTAGAGGCGTCACTACAGATCTGGGTTCGATCCCGGGCTGAGTCGCAGCCGGCCGCGACCGGGAGACCCATGAGGCGGCGCACAATTGGCCCAGCGTCGTCCGGGTTAGGGGAGGGTTTTGACGGCTGGGATGTCCTTGTCCCATCGCACTCTAGCGACTCCTTGTTGCGCCCGGGCGCATACACGCTGACGTCGGTCGCTAGCTGTACGGTGTTTCCTCTGACACATTGGTGCGGCTGGCTTCCGGGTTAAGTGAGCAGTGTGTCAAGAAGCAGTGCGGCTTGGCGGGGTTGTGTTTCGGAGGACGCATGGCTCTCGACCTTCGCCTCTCCCGAGTCCGTATGGGAGTTGCAGCGATGGGACAAGACTGTAACTACCAATTGGATATCACGAAATTGGGGAGAAAAAGGGCTAAAAAGTACCAATAAAAAAATATAAAAAAAATATAAAAAACAGTAATAACACATAATAAAAGTAATAAATGCACAATGAGTAATGATAACTTGGCTATATACACAGGGTAGCAGTACCGAGTCGAGTTGCAGGGCTACGAGGTAATTGAGCTTGATATGTACATACAGTGCCTTAAGAAAGTATTCACACCCCTTGACTTTTTCCACTTTGTTGTGTTACAAAGTGGGATTAAAATGGATTTGTCAACGATCTACACCAAATTCGATGTCAAAATAAAAAAATACAAAAAGCATTAATGGAAAATAAAACAAATATATTTGATTAGATACGTTTTCAACCCCATGAGTCAAATGTTATCACTTTTGGCAGAGATTACAGCTGTGAGTCTTTCTGGGTAAATCTCGAAGAGCTTTGCAAAATTGGATTGTACAATATCTGCCAATTATTCTTTTTTAAATTCTTCAAGCTCTGTCAAGTTTGTTGTTGATCATTGCTAGACAGCCATTTTCAAGTCTTGCCATAGATTTTCAAACCGATTTAAGTCAAAACTGTAACTATACCACTCAGAAACATTCAATGCCATCTTGGTAAGTAACTCCAGTGTATATTTGGCAGTGCGTTTTAGGTTATTGTCCTGTTGAAAGGTATATTTGTCTCCCAGTGTGTTGGAAAGCAGACTGAACCAGGTTTTCCTCTAGGACTTTGCCTGTGCTTAGCTCTATTCCTTTTCTTTTTATCCTAAAAAACTCCTTAGTCCTTGCCAATGACAAGCATACCTATAACATGATGCAGCCACAACCATGCTTGAAAATATGAAGCGTGGTACTCATTGATGTGTTGCTAGATTTGCCCCAAACATAATACTTTGTATTCAGGACAAAAATTACATTTCTTTGCCACATTTTTTGCAGTATTATTTAGTGCCAAACAGGATGCATGTTTTAGAATATTTTTGGAAAACCTCCCTGGTCTTTGTCGTTGAATCTGTGCTTGAAATTCCCTGCTCGACCGAGGGACCTTCCAGATAATTGTATGTTTAGGGTACAGAGATGGGGTAGTCTTCAAAAATCATGTTAAACACCATTATTGCACACAGAGTTAGTCAATGCAACTTATCTGACTTGTTAAGCACATTTTTATACCTGAAGTTATTTAGGCTTGCCATAACAAAGGTGTAGAATACTTATTGACTCGAGACTTAATTTATTAAACATTTAAGGGGTATTGTGTGTAGATCAGTGACACAAAATCTAAATGTAATACATTTTAAATTCAGACTAACAACAAAATGTGGAAAAAGTTAAGGGGTGTAAATACTTTCTGAAGGCACTGTAACTAGGAATAAAGTGACTAGGCAACAGAATAGATAAACAGTAGAAGCAGCGCATGTGATGAGTCAAAAAGGTTAGTGCAAAAAGGGTCATGCAGATAGTTAACCTAATAGCTACCCGGACTAACTATTTAGCAGTCTTATGGCTCGGGGGTAGCTGTTCAGGGTCCTGTTGGTTCCAGACTTGGTGCATAGGTATCGCTTGTCGTGCGGTAGCAGAGAGAACAGTCTATGACTTGGGTTCCTGGAGTCTTTGTCCATTTGTAGGGCCTTCCTCTGACACCGCCTGGTATAGAGGTCCTGGATGGCAGGGAGCTCGGCCCCAGTGATGTACTGGGCCATACGCACATACCTGTAGCGCCTTGCGGTTGGATGCCAAGCAGTTGCCATACCAAGCTGTGATGCAGCCAGTCAAGATGCTCTCAATGGTGCAGCTGTATAACTTTTTGAGGATCTGAGGGCCCATGCCAAATCTTTTCAGCCTCCTGAGGAAGAGGTGTTGTTGTGCCCTCTAAACGACTGTGTTGGTGTGTGTGGACCATGATATATCCTTAGTGATGTGGACACCAAGGAACTTGAAGCTCTCGACCTGCTCCACCACAGCCCTGTCGATGTGAATTGGGGCGGCTCCTGTTTCCTGTTGTCCATGATCAGCTCCTTTGTCTTCACCACATTGCCAGGACTCTGATCGCCTCCCTATAGGCAATCTCATCATCGTGGGTGAACAGGCAGTAGAGGAGGGGACTAAGCACGCACGCCTGAGGGGGTTGCGGATGTGTTGTTGCCTACCCTCACCATCTGGGGAGGTCCGTCAGAAAGTCCAGGATCCAGTTGCAGAGGGAGGTTTCAGTCCCAGGGTCTTTAGCTTAGTGATGTGCTAGGAGGGCACTATGGTGTTGAACGCTGAGCTGTAGTCAATGAACAGCATTCTCAAATAGGTGTCCCTCTTGTCCAGGTGGTAGAGGGCAGTGTGGAGTGCAATAGAGATTGTCATCTGTGGATCTTTTGGGGCGGTATGCAAATTGGAGTAGGTCAAGAGTGTCTGGGATGAGGGTGTTGATGTAAGCCATGACCAGCCTTTCAAAGCATTTCATGGCTACAGATGTGAGTGCTATAAGTGTCCGGATTAGGGTCCCGCTCCTTGAAACCAGCAGCTCTAGCCTTTAGCTCAGTGTGGATGATACCCATAATCCATGGCTTCTGGTTGGGATATGTACGGTCACTGTGGGGATGACGTAGTCAATGGACTTATTAATGAAGCCGGTGACTGATGTGATAAACTCCTCAATGTCATCGGATGAATCCCGGAACATATTCCAGTCTGTGTTAGCGAAACAGTCCTGTATCTTAGCATCCGCTTCATCGGACCACTTCCGTTTTGAGCACGTCACTGGTACTTCCTGTTTTGAGTTTTTGCTTGTAAGCAGGAATCAGGAGTTATGGTCAGATTTGCCAAATGGAGGGCGAGGGAGAGCTTTGTATGTGTTTCTGTGTGTGGAGTAAAGGTGATCTAGAGTTTTGTCTCTAGTTGCACAGGTGACATGCTGGTAGATGAGATGCGGCAGGTAGCTTAGTGGGTAAGAGCGTTGTGCCAGTAACCGAAAGGTCGCTGGTTCTAATCCCCGAGCCGACTAGGTGAAAAATCTGTCGATGTGCCCTTAAGCAAGGCACTTAACCCTAATTGCTCCTGTAAGTCGCTCTGGATAAGAGCGTCTGCTAAATGACTAAAATGTAAAATGTAATGAGATAAAACAAATGTCAGTTTCCTTACATTCAAATCACTGGCCACTAGGAGCGCCGCCTCTGGATGAGCATTTTCTTGTTTACTTATGGCCCTATACAGCTTGATGAGTGTGGTCTTAGTGCCTGCATCCGTTTGTAGTGGTAAATTGACAGCTATGAAAAATACATGAAAACTCTTGGTAAAAAGTATAGTCTTATCATGAGGTATTCTAGATCAGGCGAGCAAAACCTTGAGACTTCCTTAATATTAGAGATCGCTCACCAGTTGTTGCTAACAAAGAGACACATCCTTCCCCGCTATCCTTACCCGACGCTGCTGTACGATCTTGACAATGCATAGAAAAACCAGCTAGATGTACACTGAGTATACCAAACATTAGGAACAGTGTCCTAATATTGAGTTGCACCCCCCACCCTTTGCCCTCAGAACAGCCATAATTCTTCTGGGCATGGACTCTACAAGGTGTCGAAAGCATTCCACAGGGATGCTGGCCCATGTTCACTCCAATGCTTCCCACAGTTGTGTCAAGATGGCTGGATGTCCTTTGGGTGGTGGACCATTCTTGATAAACACAGGAAACTGTTGAGTGTGAAAAACCCTGCAGCGTTGCAGTTCTTCACACACTCAAACCGGTGCATCTGGCACCTACTATCATACCTCGTTTAAAGCCACTTAAATATTTTTTCTTGCCCATTCACCCTCTGAATGGCACACATACACACTTTAGTCATTTAGCAGACGCTCTGATCCAGAGCGACTTACAGTTTAGTGAGTGCATACATTATTTTATAATTTTTTTCATACTGGCCCCCGGTGGGAATCGAACCCACAACTCTGGCGTTGCATGCTCTATCAACTGAGCTACATCCCTGCCGGCCATTCCCTCCCCTACCCTGGACGACGCTGGGCCAACTATGATAGAGCCTGGATTTGAACCAGGATCTCTAGTGGCACAGCTAGCACTACGCCACACAATCCATGTCTCAAGGCTAAAAAAATCATTCTTTAACCTGTCTCCTCCCCTTCATCTACACTGATTTAAGTGGATTTAACAAGTGACATCAATAAGGGATCATTGCTTTCACCTGCTCAGTCTGTCATGGAAAGAGCAGGTGTTCTTAATGCTTTGAAAACTCTGTGTATATTATCCATGTCCTTGTTCAGCCACGACTCCGAGAAACATAGGATATTACAGTTCTTCAGTTCCCGTTGATAGGATAGTCTCGAACGGAGCTCGTCCAGTTTGTTCTCCTGTGATTGTACGTACGCCAATAGAACGGACGGTAAAAGGTGGAGTATTTTATTCGGCAGTGTCTTTTCGTCAGGGTGCCCGCATGTCGGCCTCTCTTACACCGTCTTCTCCGATGTTACGAGTCTCGAGTCTCGGGATTAGGGCCTGGTCTGGGTGAGCAGTATGTCCTGCGCCGCCAACCCACTGAAGTAGAAATCTTAGGTTAGTTATCGCTGTTCTGATGTCCAGAAGCTATTTTCCGGTATAGGAAACGATGGCGGAAACATTATGCACAAAATAAGTGAAGATCAGCGCAAAGAAACACAAAATAGCAGAATTGGTCAGAAGCCCATAAAACAGCAGCTATCCATTGCAGTGCCATTCTTTTTCAAGAATGCATATAGCTAGGTATTATGAATGCATAGCCATAGCTACCCGGCATAACCAAGAGACACACATTGACTAACTTTACAGACAGTGCCAGTGATGACAGATGGTTTTGGTGACAGTGACTTGTCGATAGCCCAGTTGGCATCCATAATATGGGCCATATGAGTGATGCTATGGGTTAGGTTAGCTGGCCATCCAGATTAGCTAGCTAGATCTTTTCACGTTATACACATCAGAATATTTGCTAGCTAACGTTATATTGAAGGGGTAGGTGGGTAGGTAGCTAGCTAGTTTGATCACAAGCACGGTTAGCTAGTGGTCGGTCCAGTAAAGTTACTCGTTGCTAGTCCGACTCCCAGGCAAGCTAAGCAAGGCCCATATCTAGCTAGCTATCTAGTTAGTTATCTATCTAATAAATGTGGCTAGTGCCACGAGTCGACACGAGGTTTGAACCACTGATAATGCTACTAAACATTGATTGATTGTTATAGTGTTCTATGTTACCATTATCACCAGAACGATACTAACTAGCGGTAGCAATATACACTATATATACACAAAAGTATGTGGACACCCCTTCAAATGAGTGGATTCGGCTATTTCAGCCACACCCGTTGCTGACAGGTGTATAAAATCGAGCATACAGCCATGCAATCTCCATAGACAAATATTGGCAGTAGAATGTCCTTACTGAAGAACTCAGTCACTCAACATGGCACCATCATAGGATGCCACCTTTCCAACAAGTCAGTTTGTCAGATTTCTGCCCTGCTAGAGCTGCCCCGGTCAACTGTAAGTGCTGTTATTTTGAAGCGGTAACATCTGGGAGTAACAACGGCTCAGCCATGAAGTGGCAGGCCACACAAGTGCACAGAACGGGACCGGCGAGTGCTGAAGCGCATAAAAATTGTCTGTCCTCGGTTGAAACACTCACTACAGAGTTCCAAACTGCCTCTGGAAGCAACGTAAGCACAATAACTGTTTGTCGGGAGCTTCATGAAATGGGTTTCCATGGCCGAGCAGCAGCACACAAGCCTAAGATCACCATGCGCAATGCCAAGCGTCGGCTGGAGTGGTGTAAAGCTCACCGCCATTGGACTCTGGAGCAGTGGAAACACATTCTTTCTCTGGAGTAATGAATCACGCTCCACCATCTGGCAGTCTGACGGACGAATCTGGGTTTGGCGTATGCCAGGAGAACGCTACCTGCCTGACTGCATAGTACGAACTGTAAAGTTTTTGTGGCGATGGAATAATGGTTTGGGCTAGGCCCCTTAGTTCCAGTGAAGGGAAATCTTAACGCTACAGCATACAATGACTTTCTAGACAATTCTGTGCTTCCAACTTTGTGGCAACAGTTTGGAGAAGGCCCTTTCCTGTTTCAGCATGACAATGCCCCTGTGCACAAAGCAAGGTCCATACAGAAATGGTTTGTCGAGATCGGTGTGGAAGAAGTTGACTGGCCTGCACAGAGCCCTGACCTCAACCCCATCTAACACCTTTGGGATGAATTGGAACACAGACTGCGAGCCAGGCCCAATCACCCAACATCAGTGCCCAAACTTACTAATGCTCCCCGCAGCATTGTTCCAACATCTAGTGGAAAGCCTTCCCAGAAGAGCCTTAGTAGCAAAGGGGGGACCAACTCCATTATTAATGCCCATGATTTTGGAATGAGGTGTTCGACGAGCAGGTGTCCACATACTTTTGGTCATGTAGTGTATGTTAGCTGTCTAGCTAGCTAAATAGCAAGACGATAACGTCTCACTGTTGGCTAGCGCGTTGGCTAGCTAGAAGCCGGTTACCAATATATATTGTTGCAGTAATGTTTTCTGACTACCCGTTCGCTATCTTGCTAGCTAATTTAGGTAACTAATCTATTACCTAGCTAGCTAATAATAGAGAACATAACGTTAGCTATAATCTTTCTAACGTTACTGTTTGGTTAGCTGCAACGCTACTAAATTAGCTAGCTAGCTAGAATAAATACCCTACTCTGTGTCGCTGCCAGCTAGCTAGCTAACCAGTTAGCTGGCTACCGTATGTTAGCTCAACGTTAACTATCCCTGGGTGGTCGCTAATTCAAAGCAAACCACCAAATCAAAACCAGTAACACTTAAGATAGTTAGCTAACATTAACTAACTAGCTAATTCACCTTCCTAATTAGCAAATAAATAGAAAATTACTGCGACAAACATCTATCTACCATGCTATCGGTGCTTTCCTGAACTGCGGCCCACCCCACACCCCTGCATCCTTGGCCTCACCTCCTCTTCACTTTCACTCCTGAAGCACAGACAGGCGGCCCGCTTCTTGTAGCCATCCCCATCGTATGTCCGGGTTTGGTTTGACTTGAGCTTCATCATTTCGGGGTACCAATGGACCAAAACTGTAATTCAAACACTGGGAAAGCCGCTGTCTTCGACGCAAAGTCCTCCAATGAGGAACCCCGTCGTTTTCTTATAAGAAATAACTTCTCCTTCGCTTCATTTTCACAAGCATAGGCACATCTCCAGCACGGTCGCCATTATGAAGATAACTGCGTAAGCAACGTAACATGGCATATATTAACGAAGGTGGCATTAGGATATTACGTATCTTATTTTAAGGAATACAACATTGAACGCCAAAAAAACGAAACGAAGTAGAGAATTTACGCAAATGACGCTGGTTTCTGTGGAGTTTCATGGAGTTGCTGGAAGAATTCATCGCCTTGACTATCAACAGACCAAGATCCTGTCTTTGGTTGTAATTTATACTAATGACTAAATGGCACGTTAACGCCGAGCTTGTAAAATTAACCACAAGAGCCTATAAAAAGTGTGTTCACGCGAAACTTCAGACTATCTTTCAGCACCCCAGGCAATGGACAGCAGCAACCTGGTTGGTTATTACATAAGATCAAACAAGCAAACAAAATTACTACATTTGTGGGAAATTTCTATCGGTTACTTCTGTCCATTTATGCATATCTAAGAATATACTTCTTTTTTTTAATAGAAATGTTTAAAATTATTTATTTCATTTGTGTTTTCTGCATCCATTTCATAGCCTGAACAGTATGTGACCACGACCACAATAAAATAGATTATTTAGATGTAATAAAAAGGGATTCAAATGTTTTACAGTGTCTTGCATGCATTCTGAAAGACAGTGTGAAATATCAACCAGTTTAAACACAAAAATCTGAAGTATTTTGTGTTCCTTCAGTGCATAGATGTGGAGAACAGGAGAGGAAGAAACGTCTCCAAGGGGAGCAAATTCCCCAAATATTACACTTTAATATGAAATTCAAGAAATTATGGGAGCCTAATTTTCTATTGTGGATTAGAACAATTCAAGGGTGAGTGCTAGTTGCTCAAGTTATTCTATGTACAGTTGAAGTCGGAAGTTTACATACACCTTAGCCAAATACATTTAAACACAGATTTTCACAATTCCTGACATTTAATTCTAGTAAAAATTCCCTGTCTTAGGTCAGTTAGGATCACCACTTTATTTTAAGAATGTGAAATGTCAGAATAATAGTAGAGAGAATGATTTATTTCAGCTTTTATTTCTTTCATCACATTCCCAGTGGGTCAGAAGTTGGACGAGATGGGTCCCATTATGCCTGCCGAAAACCAAACACTGCATTCCACAGTAAGAACATCATACCAAAGGTCAAGCATGGTGGTGGTGGTGTGATGGTTTGGGGATGCTTTGCTGCCTCAGGACCTGGATGACTTGCCTTAATAGAAGGAACCATGAATTCTGCTCTGTATCAGAGAATTCTACAGGAGAATGTCAGACCATCCGTCTGTGAGCTGAAGCTGAAGCGCAGCTGGGTCATGCAGCAAGACAATGATCCAAAACTCATAATAAGTCCAGACCTAATTACAATTGAGATGTTGTGGCAGGATTTGAAACTAGCAGTTCATGCTTGAAAACCCACACGTCACTGAGTTAAAGCAGTTCTGCATGGAAGAGTGGGCCAAAATTCCTCCACAGCGACGTGAGAGACTGATCAACAACTACAGGAAGCATTTGATTGGAATCATTGCAGCTAAAGGTGGCACAACCAGTTATTCAGTGTAAGGGGGCAATTACTTTTTCACACAGGGGAATTGGGTGTTGCATAACTTTGTTTATGAAATAAATATGTAATTGTTGTGTTATTTGTTCACTTATGTTCCCTTTATCTAATATTAGATTTTGGTTGAAGATCTGATAACATTCAGTATCACAAATATGCAAAAGTAGAGAAAATTAGAAAGGGGGCAAATACTTTTTCATAGCACTGTATATATATTTGTTTACATTTTTGTAATTTAGCAGATGGTATTATCCAGAGCGACTTACGGTTAGTGCATTCATCTTAAGATAGCTAGGTTGGATAACCACATATCACAGGCATAGAAAGTACATTTTCACTCAATAGTGTAGCTATCAGTAGAGTCAGAGCTAGAAGGGGGGCGGGAGGGGGGGAGGGACCGCAGCGTTCTGGATAAGTTGTAGGGGTTGGATGGCACAAGAGGGGAGGCCAGCCAACAGCGAGTTGCAGTAGTCAAGACGGGAGAGGACAAGTGCCTGGATTAGGACATGTCCATATACAGTACTAAGTGCTAGATCCTCAGGTGCACCAGGTGGCATGCTGACTGTACTCTTATCCCTCTGGGCCAAGCGCTGTCAGCAGCACCTGCGGTAACAGACTCTGAACCCCATGCCTGCCCTGGGCTGAACCATCTGCCTCTCCCTACTAGTGCCAATAACACATGGAGTGTTACAAATAACACATTCTACTTGGGCAAAGGTGTTGGCATCATAGACAATATTAATATAATACTGGATGTTTACTATATAATGTCTACACCTGTTTTGTTGAATTCCACCTTGAATATAAAGCTGCTTTTACTGCAGAGGGAAAGCACAGACTGCCACCCAAAAAGGAGGTAACACTAGTCTGGTGTCCTTTTGTTGATGACTGTACCTTATCCTGGTCCCCCTTAAGATTGCTTATAGCATGGGTTTTAGATAGACACGGCCTGTATTGTTGAGGTCTGCTTGTGAAAAATGCATGTTGTAGACAAGAACAACATACGCTGCTGGTTGCTGCCATGGGTGTGGTAGATATGACACTGAAATGGAATGTGCACATCCTTGTAGCATGCAGAAAGCTGTAATATTGTCCTCCTGTTGCTTTCAAGAGAAGGAAGAGCAGGGATCCCAAGAGTCCTCTGAGGTAGAGGAAGATTAGCTGTAACTGCTTTTTACAATCAACACTACCTCATCATTCAATGTAATGGGCTTGACTTCCAATCACAGCCTGACTTACACCTTACTCGTAAATTCTCCATGGTGACCGTTTCGGAGGGGTGGGGAAATGTATCTGCTATTTACAACTGCGCTGGAAATAAATACTTATACGATCTCTAAATCAAATCAAATCAAAATCAAATCAAATTGTATTTGTCACATGCGCCGAATACAACAGTGAAATGCTTACTTACAAGCCCTTAACCAAGAATGCATGTTTAAGAAAGAATACAAAAAAAAGAACACAACAAAAATACAATATAAAATAATAAGAAATAAAAGTAACAAATAATTAAAGAGCAACAGTAAAAATAACAATAGCGAGGCTATATAGCGAGGCTATATACAGGGGGTACCAGTACCGAGTCAATGTGTGGGGGCACCGGTTAGTCGAGGTAATTGAGGTAATATGTACATGTAGGTAGAGTTATTAAAGTGACTATGCATAGATAATAAACAGAGAGTAGCAGCAGTGTAAAAGAGGGGGTGGGGGGGGGGGGGGGGTTGCAATACAAATAGTCTGGGTAGCCATTTGATTAGATGTTCAGGAGTCTTATGGCTTGGGGGTAGAAGCTGTTTAGAAGCCTCTCGGACCTACTCTTGGCGCTCCGGTACAGCTTGCCGTGTGGTATCAGAGAGAACAGTCTATGAATAGGGTTGTTGGAGTCTTTGACAATTTCTAGGGCCTTCCTCTGACACCGCCTGTTATAGAGGTCCTGGATGGCAGGAAGCTTGGCCCCAGTGATGTACTGGGCCTTACGCACTACCCTCTGTAGTGCCTTGCAGTCGGAGGCCGAGCAGTTGCCATACCAGGCAGTGATGCAACCAGTCAGGATGCTCTCGATGGTGCAGCTGTAGAACCTTTTGAGGATCTGAGGACCCATGCCAAATCTTTTCAGTCTCCTTTGGGGGAATAGGTTTTGTTGTGCCCTCTTCACAACTGTCTTGGTGTGCTTGGACAATGTTAGTTTGTTGGTGATGTGGACCCAAGTGGCTCACAACCTGCTCCACTACAGCCCCATCGATGAGAATGGGGGCGTGCTCGGTCCTCTTCTTTTTCCTGTATTCCACAATCATCTCCTTTGTCTTGATCATGTTGAGGGAGAGGTTGTTGTCCTGGCACCACACGGCCAGGTCTCTGACCTCCTCCCTATAGGCTGTCTCGTCGTTGTCGGTGATCAGGCCTACCACTGTTGTGTCGTCAGCAAACTTAATGATGGTGTTGGAGTCATGCTTGGCCACACAGTCGTGGGTAAATAGGGAGTACAGGAGGGAACTAAGCACGCACCCCTGAGGGGCCCCAGTGTGGAGGATCAGTGTGGCGGATGTGTTGTTGCCTACCCTTACCACCTGGGGGCGGCCCGTCAGGAAGTCCAGGATCCAGTTACAGAGGGAGGTGTTTAGTCCCAGGGTCCTTAGCTTAGTGATGAGCTTTGTGGGCACTATGGTGTTGAACGCTGAGCTGTAGTCATTGAACAGCATTCTCACATACAGTTGAAGTCGGAAGTTTACATACACTTAGGTTGGAGTCATTAAAACTCGTTTTTCAACCACTCCACAAATTTCTTGTTAACAAACTATGGTTTTGGCAAGTCGGTTAGGACATCTACTTTGTGCATGACACAAGTAATTTTTCCAACAATTGTTTACAGACAGATTATTTCACTTAAAACTCACTGTATCACAATTCCAGTGGGTCAGAAGTTTACATACACTAAGTTGAATGTGCCTTTAAACAGCTTAGAAAATTCCAGAAAATGATGTCATGCCTTTAGACGCTTCTGATAGGCTAATTGACATCATTTGAGTCAATTGGAGGTGTACCTGTGGATGTATTTCAAGGCCTACCTTCAAACGCAGTGCCTCTTTGCTTGACATCATGGGAAAATCAAAAGAAATCAGCCAAGACCTCAGAAAGAAAATTGTAGACCTCCACAAGTCTGGTTCATCCATGGGAGCAATTTCCAAACAGTAATAAAGGGAAATATATATATTTTTAAAGGATACGTATGTATATACACTGCTCAAAAAAATAAAGGGAACACTAAAATAACACATCCTAGATCTG